CACCCCCCCCCCCCCCCCCCCCCCCCCGGCACCCGGGGACTCGCTGCGTACCTGGCGCAGAGGCAGCGCCGCCTCCAATGCCTTATTCTTTGTGGAGCAGCTCGAGGTCACTGAAAGAAGGGCTCCCTAGAAGCACGTTAACGATAAATAAGTAGCTACCTGCAAAGGAAGATGAAGCATTAGTCCCTGGATGCGTGTAGAAAAGGGCCTGCCCCACACGCACTGGGGATTTATTCTGCTTACGAGAGGGTTTGGAGGGATCTCGGGGGGAGCGTGGGAATGCCCCAGTGCATTTGTTGAGCGCTGTACAACCAGGGCTCTGCCTCTTTCAATTACATCTTGCCAGCAGGTTATTAAATCCTTTAATCTCTGAGCAATGATGCTGATCTAGTTGCCTTACAGACATTGCTCACACCACATCTGTTGAAAACCCGGATCCGAGATAAAAGCCTGGAGCCTCCCACGTGGTTGCCAGCTGTCCCTTTCCCCTCCTTTCTCAGCTCCCGTGGGACGACGGCAGAGATGGGGAGAGGGACGGTGGGGCATAGGCTGGGGCTGCGGGACCTCGGCAAGCGGCTGTGGAGTTCCCCCAGGTGACGCGGGAGTCGGGGCAGAGCCGGGACGCGGCTCGGGGGCCGCAGACAAGGGGCATCGGGCACGTGTAGGCTCCCAGCCTGCAACCTCCGAAGCCGGGCAGGGCTGCAGCTCCTTCCAGCCCTCCTTCAGCGTGGCCGGTGATCGGCGAAGTGGCACGAGATACCATAAGCCATCCAGCCCCGCATCCCAACGGGATTCATCCTCTGGGGCTGCGTCAGAGGGTCTTCTCCTTGAGGGCAGCCCCGAGGGCCTGCAGGAGAGGCAGCACGTTGCAGTAGCTCTTGTTCCTCGTCTCCTGTTCGTCAGGAGATGCAGCTCATCGCTCACCCGGCTGTTTTAAGTGTCTGGGCGTCATTTGGAAAGTGGGCAGTTTCCTTTAATGACACGCCTGTGGATGGGAAGATGTTGGAGCTCTGCGCCCCAAGCTGGCTCCCGTACTGCTGCTGACATCTAATTATAGAGGAGTCAGCTGCCGGCAAACTGATCCGTCCAAAATCCAGGCTTAGTATGAGCTGCTCTCGCCCCTCCAACTCACCCCTGCTTTCGATATGGGGTGAATCTTGCACTGGGGCGATTCCCTTGCTGCCTTCCTGGGTGGCTGTGGGAGCTCCCCTTTCCCTGCCCTCCCATGCCGTGCCCGGGCAGCCTCTGCTGCTGTACGAACGCTCAGGTCGCGGACCAAAAAAGCCAGAAAACCTCTGATCTCAGCCCAAGGGGTGGCTGGAGCCCGAGGCCGGTCAGCACCAGGGGTGCTCACGACAGCCACCCGCAGACCCCCTCAGCAGAACTTACCTTCCCCTGGCTCCCCCAGCCCACCCTGCGCCGGCCTCTGCTTGCGCTGCCTCTTTCCACAGGTGTCGTGGCCGGGAGGTGGAGGCAGCCTGGTCCTGCCCGCAGGGTCCATAGGGGACGACCAGGAGCCATTTCTTCCTCCAAGCCCTGTACAGGGAACGTGGCTCGCTGGGTATGGGGTGTCTGGGGAGAGAAGGAGGCGTTTGCAGCGCGGGTCAGGAGGATTTAGCGGAAGCTGGAGGCTCGTTCCCAGATACCTTTTGCAGAAACGGCGTGGTAGGACACATCTCTCAAGTCACAGAGAAACAGAAAGGTGTCCCAGGCTGAGAGGGGAGACGTGCCGGGGGTGGCAGCAGGGGGACCCCAGAACGGGGTGGCCTTTGCTCTCGGAGAGGCTACGATGGGCGGCTGGAGCAGCTCCAGGTCCTGAGGAGAGGAGACCAGGCAAACATCAGCTGGTTCAAGCACCAGGCAGCTCTTGGGCAGATGGCCGAGCTCCCCCCAGCTCCAGCTGCTTGGCTGTGGGATGGGAGGCAGCTCGCCCTGGGATTTGGGATGGGCGGCTCCTCGGACACCCTCCGCGCTCCCCAACAGGGGAGCTGGGAAGAGAGGAGCAGCCGGAGAGACTCTGCTGTTTCACAAGCTCCCCCACCAGTGAGCCGGCACGTTGAAACAGAGACAGCACGAGGGAAGCCGGGAGCGCGTGGCAGATGAGGAGCGACACAAGCAGACGGGGGTATGGCCGAACTGAACCGCAAAACTGCCGCGGAGGAGGGAAATGGGGAAATAAATCCGGTGGATCTCTGGCAATGCTGGTGAGCTGGTTTTGGGAAAAAGCAGCCAAATGCCTGCCGGGCCCCCAGGATCCCTTTCCCCCTGTAGAAGCCAAGAGAAGAAAGCTGAGAGCGAGAAGGGCCATCAGTGAGGGGCAAGCGAGAGGATCCAGTCTCTCAGCTGCTGCCTGAGCTGGGGACATCATCACGCAGGGACGTATTCTTTCCATATCAGGGAGGACGGGCTTTTCTCCGGGGCTGGTCCGGCCAACACCAATACCAGTTACTCAAACCTCAAGAAAAAGCCTAAGGAATGTCAACCCAATGCTGGCAGCACGGAGACCGTCGTCCCTGCTCCCAGCCCATGTCCCTGCTCCCAACCTGTGCGCCTCTGTGTGTCCCCGCAGCAGCATCCGCAGAGGGCTGAGGTCCCCCCTTGGGACAGTGGTGCCTCTTGGGACCCCGCTGGCTGTGGCAGGACTCTGCCCAGAGGATGCTCATTGAGCTCCAGCACCGTTTTTCTGGCGGCAGCCGGGGTAGGAGGGGTTTGCCGGGGGGTGCCCCCGCTGCAGCCTTGTTTTAAGCAAGGCGAAGGCGCGACACGGCTGGGCAGTGGCAGCGAGCCGCACTGAATGGCACCGGGACCTGGGAATGAGGGACCGTGAGGATGCTGAGGAGCCGAGCGGGAGGAGGTGGAGGCCAAGTGCCATCAGCCCTGTTCTGCATCCCGGCCCTGAGTTGAGGCTGCGATCGGAGCAGCTTTGAGAAAACCTTGGACAAGGGTTTGGGGAGGAGGGAGCTGGCGGCACTGGCCAGCCCCCGCGCCGGGTGCAGCCGGCGGCTGAGCACCGTCTGCCCATGGGGAAACAGGGCTGTCGGTGGCTTGGGCGAGCTACTGCACCGGGGCACGTGGTGCAGGTCCCGGCGCATCCCTGGCACCCTTTCCCCTTGTGCACGGCCCCGGCAGCGACCGCAGGATGGTCCAA